TCTATATGCCAACGCACGAAGTATTGTCAAACCTGGTAAGCTTGATGAACTAACATGTATAATCCAATATTTTAAAAACATTATTCATATTATAATACTGTCCGAAACATGGATAAGTTCTGATGATGAAGCCAAGAGACTGTACTTACCAGGATACAATCATTACTACAACTACAGACAAAATACCAAGGGAGGAGGCGTCTCAATATTTGCACACAACAGTCTTACACATAACTTAATCGAAGAGCAATCTGTAAATGACAATCACTATCTGTGGATACACATAAATAAATTTGACTTAGACATAGGTGCAATCTACAAACCTGGGAGAACAAATAGCAATGATTTTCTAGACTGTTATTCCACGCAGTTAGAAAAAAGGAAGAGAGCTATAATATTTGGAGATTTTAATTACGATTTACTTAGTTCTGACAAAACGGTTCAAAATTATAAGAAGATAATTAGAGAGTGTGGTTACTACATAATCAACAAAATTGACAGACACTACAGTACCCGCGAAACAGAAAGTACCAGTACTATATTAGATCACGTATGTTCAAATCTAAAACAAAATCGATTTCATATGGCCATTGTAGATTCAAGTATGTCAGATCACAAACAGATTTATTTCGAAGTAAAGAATTACAAAGCAGAACCGATAAAGACAGTAAAGTACGATGCAATAGACTACGAAAAACTTTATAATACGTATGATACAACTAAAAACAAAGACTGTGAATACAATACTCTAGAACAAAATTTAATTTACAGTATTAACGCAAGCAAAACGATTAAGACCAAAAAAATTAATCCTCCGAAACAAGATTGGATAAAGAAAGAAATTTTAGATGCAATAAAGAGTAGAAATGAAATGTACCAAAATCACAAACAAAATCCAAAAAACAAAAAGATCGAAGAAGATTACGTAACGAAAAAGAAAAGTGTAGTCAATATGATACGAAAATTAAAAGGAGAATACTATTACAAAGCATTCCAAGACTGTAAAAACAAACCCAATAAAATGTGGTCACTTATAAATAACCTCTCTCGCAACAAAGTTAAAGAGTCCACTGTTCCAGTGAAATTGCTGAGAGGTACAGATATAATTACTGACGAAAAAGAAATCTGCGAATGTTTTAATGATTATTTCTCAAATATAGGAAAGGTTTTAGCAAAGGAAATACCAAAGAAGTATCATACGAGAACAAGCTTGTCAACTGAATACCACTCACAGGCACTATCACAACTTTCACCAACGACCACAGAGAAAGTTCTTAAAATGTGCAATAAATTGAATAGTAATACGTCCTCAGGTGTTGATGGTATTAGTACCAAAGCTATTAAATGTGTTAAAAAAGTGCTCGCTGAAGATTTGACAACATGCATAAATAAATGCTTAGAACTCGGAATATTTCCTGATAGCCTAAAACTTGCAAAAGTCACTCCTATTTTCAAGTCAGGTAATAGAACTGATCCTGGAAACTATCGCCCAATATCGGTTCTTCCTATTCTGTCTAAAATTTTTGAAAAGATTCTATACAATAGATTTGAAAAATATTTAAACTCTATTAATTTCATGTACAGTAAACAGTATGGCTTCAGACCGAAATCGAACACTCTCTCAGCAACAATGGATCTTATAACTAAGCTAAAATGTAATCTGGATAAGAAAAATATAGCATTAGGTATATTCATAGACCTAAAAAAGGCCTTCGATACCGTGAGTCACGACATATTATTGGAAAAACTCAATAAAGCTGGCATAACTGGAACAGCGTATAATATACTACAATCCTACCTATCGAATCGTAAACAGGTCTTAAGGATAGGAAACCATCAAAGTCAACCTAAAATTATTAGTCACGGCGTACCCCAAGGGTCTATTATGGGACCTTTATTATTTTTGATATATATAAATAATCTACATGAAATTGATCTTAAAGGTGACGTCACTCTATATGCTGATGACACATGTTTGTTTTACTTTGGAAGTTCAATAGAAACTATTGTTGCTGATGCGCAAAATGATCTTAAATTACTTAATGAGTGGTTCCAGTATAACCTTCTAACTGTTAATGTTGCTAAAACAAATTATTGTTACTTCATATACAATTCTTTAATTAAACCACACATTGACTATTTGATTGAGATCTGGGGCTCAGCAGCAAAATCAAACCTAAACCCAATACAAAGAGCACAAAACAAACTAATAAAGGTCCTGTTTAGATATAACTACCGTACGCCTACTAAGAATATATATAAAAATACTAAAATTTTAAATGTTACCCAAACCTACATGTACTATACTTGTTTATTGATACGTAAAATATTAACTAAAAATATACATACACAAATAGCCTTCACAAAAAAGAAACAAATACAAAAAATTCAATTAAGAAATGCAAATAATTTAGTCCTGCGGCCATCAAGAACAAATTATGGAAAAAAGAATATTTTATTTGAGGGAGCGCAACTATATAATAAACTTCCCAATGATATAAAAGAAACACAATCACTAATTACATTCAAAAAACTTTTAAAATACTACGTAATTTCGAATATTGAGTAACAAAATTTAAACTTAAATTTACTCTTCTCATAAATACGAAAAAGTACTGAATAATAAATTATTATTATATAATGTATTATTAAATACATTATGAAACAAATAGATAAAAAAAAAATAAAATAAAAATAAAATAAATACCTATATAATAAAAAAAAATAAAAAAATAATAATAATAAAAATCATTAAAACACCTTTTACTAGTAAAAAATAAATAAATAAGTAAACATATATACATATAAAACAAATAAATTTTCATTTTTGTTAAAAATAAAACTCTAATACGGAAACTATGTTAATATATGTATGTCACATCTAGTATAGCTTGCGGGCGTGGTTTGTAAGTACATCTGTGGTGGTGCTAGCCATTTGCACTTGAGAATGTGTTGTCTGTCAGTAAAATTGTACGAATGGTAAAATTTTATAATTTTTTAGCTGACTACCGTCCCTAAGTACGTTTTCTAAAAATGTTTATATTAAGTTTCTTTGTGTTCTCATGTAAGTGAATTGTTTAATTCTTAGTGAGAATAAATGTCTTAAACCATAATTTCCTTAGGTGCCCGTTTTTTTTGCAAAAGAGTGTATATAATAATAATACCAATATTTATGTATACGTTCTAATAATATATGTATAAGATATTCTTTGGTTGCATCCCCCTTTCCAATTCTTAAATTTCTATTCTAAGGTTGCCTGGAAGAAATTGCTACTTAGCAATAAGGCCGCCTGCTGCACATTTGCTTACTCTGTGATACTTACATTACTGTTATGTGTTGTCATTGTAATTTTAATGTACAATAAAGAATATTTCAAGAAATTAAATGTTATAACAGTGAAGTTTGTCTACGTATGTGCCGATGGTGTATCTAAATAAAATAAATAAACACCTCGTGATATCGGTTACCGCGTCGCGATCACGAGGTAACATCGTTACCGCAGAGTCGCTATTCCAACGCAACGGCGTCGATTTGCGAAATTTTTGTCTTAACGTAATCGGTACTTGTAGTATAGTTATTTTCATATGTAGTATAGTTATTTTCACCCTGCACATGCCGCACCGGGATTTAGCAACATTTTTGGGAAGTTTCAATACTTCATTCGGGCGTCGCCGGCGTTTTGGTCGCTCGGAAGCATTAGGAGACGCGACGGGGCGTCGCGAAGGGCTCACGTGAACTGCTGCAGCGCGGCGTCCAGCAGCTCGAGCGCGGTGCGCCAGGCGGGCGCGAAGTAGGCCAGCGCGAACCGCGGCGGCGCGCCGGCGCCCTCCTCCGCCGCCGCGCTCCACGCCGCCAGCTTCTCCTCTGCAACAGGTCGGCGTCAGCACCGCGACGGGCCGGGCGCCGGCAGCCGAGGCCCGGGCGCGCCGCTCACCGTCCTCCAGCACCAGCGGCCGGGCCAGCGCCACCAGCAGGTCGAAGGCCAGGAACTTGTAGGCGGGGTGGCCCGCGCCGGACAGCGCGGCCGCGCCGGCGGCGCACAGGCGCGACAGCGCGAGGTCGCCTTCGCGCTGCGGTCGCGGCAGGTGCTCCCAGCGCAGCAGCCGCAGGGCGCCTCGCAGCCCGTGCACCACGGCCGCGTGGCTCGCGGACACGGCGCGCTCGCCGCTGCACCCTGCGGCAGAGCGGCGGCTGAGCGGCGGCGGGCGGCGGGCGGCGGGCGGCGGGCCGAGGCGCGGCGGGCACCCACCCAGCACGTGCACGGTCAGCGCGAGCAGGTTGGCGGTGAGGTCGGGCGCGAACACGTCGGCCCACTCGGCCGGCAGCGCCGCCACGTGCGCCGAGGGCTGCCGTCGCTGGCTCTCCGCAGCCACGCCGGCCACGAAGCGCGCTACCGCGCCGTGCAGCCGCAGCACGGCGCAGCCCAGCAGCGCCACCTGCGCAGGGCGCGTGAGGGAGGCCCGCGGCGGGCGGGGCGGGGCGGGGCGGGGCGGGGGCGCGCGGCACCTTGGCGCTGCTCCAGGCGCGCTTGGACCGCTCCAGCGACGCGGCGAGGCTGCACAGCGTGATGGCGGCGAAGTCCCAGTGGTGCGGCGGCGCCTCCCAGCCGCGGGCGGCCACCAGCGCCGCGAGGCAGTCGGCCACGGCCGCCGCGCTGACCGCGTGCGCCCAGGCGGCGCCGGCCACGTCCCTGCGGGTCGTCCAGCGCGTCGAGCTCGCGGCGGCGAGGCGCCGGGCGGCGGGCGGCGCTCCGCTCACCGGTCGTACAGCATGGTGTGCGGGTGGCGGTAGTAGCCGTCGACCGCGACGTCCACGTCGGCGGCGGGCAGGCAGCGCGCGGCGTCGGCGGCGAAGGCGGCGTCGGCCGCGGCCGAGCCCGCGTGCGCCGCCAGCCAGGCGCGCAGCATCACCACGAAGCGCGTGCGCAGCTCGCGCTCGGCCGACGCTTCCGCCGCGCCGCTCGCCGCACCGCTCGCCGCGGCCTGCGGGCCCGCCGGGGTCAAGACGTTTCCGAGCGAGCGTTCCGGCCCGCCTTCGGACCCGGAGTCACCTGCAAGCTATGGACGAATCCGTTCCCGGTGAGCTTCTCCCCCAGCTCCGAGTGGCTCCACGTCCACGTCTCGCCGTCGTCCGCTCCCTCCGTCGCTTTGACCTCGTAGTACCGCCGGGCGAAAGCCCAGTAGTAGCCGGTGGAGGTCGCCGCCGCCGACAGACGCGCCGTTATTTTTCGGTGGGCTTCTCTGGGTATTTCCGCGATGACGTCGTCCAGGAAGGCGTCCAAGTCTCGCTTCGTCCGTTGAATCGTGTCGTAGTGCGGCCACTGCGAACGTTGCGGATTTCCGGATCGGCGGGCCGTCGAGCGCGGAGAAGTAAAATCGTAAGAAAATGAAGTAAAATATTGATTCAAAGTCAAAGATTATTTATCCCATAGGTAAAATAAATTTACACTTGAAAACGTCACATTTAAGCTACTGCTCGTTCACTACGCTGACCTCCCTGAGAAGAACGAGCAAGAAACTTTAGGGATTGCTATTTTCAAAATAAACTTAAATGCTATGGAATACACTTTGAATCAAATTTGTGTGGATTCTGGAGCCGTGTCGTCTTTCCATACATCTTTATCTAACACGTAGTCTTCAATTTTGTAATATGATTTTTCGATAAAAATACTTTTAATGTAGTTTTTAAACTTAGGAAATGATAAACTTAATATATGCTCCGGAATCTTATTGTAAAAACGTATACAGTTCCCCATAAATAATGTTTACCTTGGTTAAACGAAATCGTGGTACCATGAGTTTGGACTTAGCTCTAAGGTTAATATTATGGATATCTTCTTTCTTATTGAAATTATGTATATTTTTAAGGGGATATAAAATATTTGAGTAAATGTACTGTGATGCCACAGTCATGATATCAGTCTCCTTAAACTTTTCTCTGAGAGAAACCCGAGAGCCTAGACGGTACACAGAACGAATCGCTCGTTTTTGCAATACAAATATGGTTTGAATATCTGCCGCTTTACCCCACATGAGAATCCCGTAGGACATTATACTATGGAAGTAACTAAAGTAAATTAGTCTAGCAGTACTAACATCGGTAAGCTCACGTATTCTGCGGACTGCGTATGCAGCGGAGCTTCTCTGGCTAGGAACGATATATGTGGAAACCATTGAAGTTTACTATCTAAGGTCACTCCCAAGAAGACTGCTTCATTAACAAGGTCTAACTTTTCTCCATTTATTTCTATGCTTGGACTAGTCGATTTTATGTTAGGTTAGGTTAGGTTATTCAAATTTAACACATTTTGTCTTCTTGGCATTAAGCAATAAATTGTTAGCATTAAACCAATAAACTTAGAGAGGGTATCATTAATATGGTCATAGTCAATGTCATGTCTGTCTGTTTTAAAAATCAAGGATGTGTCATCAGCAAACAACACTATTTCGCAATGGTCCTTAACAGAGAATGGCAGACCATTAATATAAATCAGAAATAAGAAAGGTCCAAGTATTGAGCCCTGCGGAACACCCATTTTTACTGGAGAACCCAAAGAAATCACTCCATTTATGTCTACTTTCTGAATTCTACCGTTGAGATATGACGAGACAAGTTTCGACGCCTTGCCATTTACACCGTAATGTTCCAGCTTCCTAATAAGAGTAATATGATCAACGTAATAAATGCCTTTGAGAGGTTACAGAAAACACCAATAGCGTTCTGGGACCTTTCCCAAGCATCAGAGATGTGTTTTAGTAACGCTACCCCCGCGTAGCTAGTCGATCTACGACTAGTAAACCCGTATTTTCTTGTCACATCTATTAATTCATTTTCTCGTCGTTCCAGGTTCGATTCCCGATTTGTAAGATTTTCTGTCGCAGACAAAAGTTATCTCTTGTTGGAATTATGTCAGTTCCAAGAAGAGATAACTTTTCTCTTCAGGCTCGTGCTAAGCCTGCTAGAGACTTCCATATGTCAATTTTCAAAGGGATCTGTGCATACTTTTTCTGTTGCCAATGAATGCTTGTATGACGGTCATATTTGAAAATAGCGAAAAAACAATTTTGGTCTCATATATTTCTTAGTTGTTGTAGTTAGTAGGCCTACAGGAGTTTAGGCATCCGCTTGCCAATTTTCAACCGGGTCAGAGCGAGTATTTTTCAGCAGCTATTTTTAATGGAAAAAACGCTTACGTGGCAGCCATTAAAAAAAATGGAAACGGAAGCGCGCAAAAGGAAAGTTTCGTATGGAGAAACGCCGGAATAGACAGAGTTCAGCGGCGGACACTCACGAAGGCGTAGCCGTCGTGCAGCGAGCGCACGAGGGCGTAGTCGTAGGCGGCCGCGGCCAGCTGCTCCTGGAAGAAGGGGCGCGTCGGCAGCGCGGCGCCGGGCGCGTGGCGCAGCAGCGCTCGCAGCAGCGCCGCGCGCAGCAGCGCCGCCGCGAAGAAGGGCCGCAGCTCGGCCTCGGCCGGCCCCGCGGGGGCCGCGGCGTCGCAGCCGCGCACCAGCCGCGCCGCGGCGGCGTTGTCGTCGTCGAAGGGGCAGTTGAGTCGGCCGACCACGCAGTCGCAAAGCAGCGCCGCCGCCTCCGCGGCCTGTCGCCCGAGCGGCGCGTCGCGCAGCAGCGCTCGGACGAGGGCCGCGGCCTCTTCGGCCCCCTCGGTCTCCTTGGTCTCCTCGGTCTTCTCGGACTCCTCGGCCCTCTGGACTTCCTCGGTAGCTCCGGCCCTCTCGGCCTCCTCGGCCCCCTCGGCTTCTTCGGCCCTCTCGGCCTCTCCGGCCTTCTCGGCCTCCTCGGCCTTCTCGGCCCCCTCGGCCTTCTCGGCCCCCTCGGCCAACTCGGCCTCTCCGGCCCTCTCGGCCTCCTCGGCCCCTCCGGCCCTCTCGGCCTCCTCGGCCCCCTCAGCTTCTCCAGCCTTCTCGGCCCCCGCCGCGTCCTCGGCGTCGTGATGGCTCAGCAGGAGCGCGCACAGGGTACATACGTGCTCCATTTCCGTCGTGTCCAGCTTGTCGGCGCTGTGATCGAGAATGGGGAGCGATGGAATCAGATTCTCTAATCTTGGTGAGAAGCGAAGCTCTCCGTGATTCGAGCGAGAGTGCATTTAGAGCGACTTGCGTCCCGAGGTCCCAATTCAACAACAGTCGAGTGAAGGTGTTCGGTATTTTATAGGTATTTATAAAAACGGCAAATTTTAACTTGTTTCCCTTTACCTACTTTACGTTAAAAGCGCGACATCTCCGTAATTTTTTTATTAACATATGCCAGAGGAAGCTCGAGTTTCGGAAACATTTACGTTTCAATTTTGTTGTCGTTCCGTAAACCAGGCGTGTTACGCATACAGTTGTATAACACGACTAGTTCGAGTGGCAATACGGCTCCTCGAAAGAGTTCGTTCAGGGAAGTACTGTTACTCCGTTTACTTTTGCCGTTAAGTAGGAATGCAAGCACTGCTGCATTTCAGTTGAGAAAGGTAAGAGTGTTGGTGGAGTTACAGGCGCATGGAATTCGTCAATTTACGTTTTTGCGATTGAAAGCTTCGAGTGGTGTTGCTACCGCTACGGTTTCGCTCGTGTTATAATAAAGAAATACATATTGAGCCCGAAATAACACCACTTTTAGATTCGGCACAACCGACCTCGGTTTCAGTGTTAGGTAGCGAGTTCTGTTTAACAATTTATTACTGTTGGTGGAAATATAAGGGCAGAATATCGAATTGAACGTTTCTCTACCGCGAAACTATTCAAAAAGGCGGGCGGCCGGGCGTCGAGAGCGACGTCACGCGACACGACAACGACCACACCTTCGCCCGTCGGCCGGAACGTCGCGGAGTGCGTTCTCGCGAGCGACGCGCGCGGCGGCAGGACGGGGCGGGCCCGCGGACTGACCTGCGGTCCAGGCGCTCGTGCGCGAGCGCCACGGCGGCGGCCCGCAGCGGCGCGCGCGCGCCCGGCGCCAGCGCCGCCAGCCCC